AATACTTTAATCAAAGTTCTGACATTCTTAAACGACAGAGAAAAGAACGGTAGTTTATCCTCAACCGTTTTGTGCCCATGTGCATCGATATGTGATGGTTTGAATGTGGATATATGTTTCTCTGCAGAGGCGGAATCAGAGTATACTAGAATAACGAAGCAGCGAAAAAAAAAAGAACGAAAAAGCATTTAAAGAAAAAAAGAAAGAATTAACAAAAAGAAAAAAAAATAGACAATAAAAAGTAGAGAAAAAACTACAAATAGAATAATTTCAACTTTAATATACTTGCATTCATTCTAGAAAATGGCAATTTTATTCATACTTTCAAGAGGCGAAGGAAAAAAGTGAAGCAAATTCCAATTCAATGCTTTACCTATAGTACATCTGTTTTCAAGCACATCACTGTGCTAGGAAAAGAAAAAGAAAAAAAAAACCAAAACAATAATAATAACAGAGAAAAGGTTTCTCCGTTTTCTCAATTTCGTTGTTCATATGATGGTGCCGTTGTGAGTCCAAGAAGACGAATGGTACGTCCCGCCACTCCAGTTCCCAATACTCTAATAAGTACGTGTGCTTGTGGGTGTTGTTGTAACTCCCGTGCGGTTCCCTTTGTCTTTGTACGCCGTGTGGTCACCCAAGTGTCGAGCACATCTGCGGGATGACGTCCATTGATGGTTCCACTGCCAGGTGTAAACCGCGGGAGAATCGTGATGGATTCCGTACCGGTGTTTTTACCACGACCTCCTTTCTTTTTCTTTGCTGGAGGTTCTGTTGCCGTTACTACCGGTGGTGCACTTCCATCCTCGCGTTTAACAATACCTGCGTAGTGTGCAATCATCATAGGAGTCATACTAAGTAGAATGGCAGTATCGGATGAGTGTGGGGAATCACCAATGGGTTGTCCAAACTCATCTATTAAAGGAAGAAGAAGAGGAAATGTAACAAATCCCCGTTCACGAAGTACATCTAGAAGTTTAAATGCATTTGGAAGATCCTTATCTATTTTTATACCCGCAAAAGTCATTGAATTTGTTGCATTAGAAGTAAATGTATTCGTCATATTCTTTGAACTAGAGTTCCATGATAAATCAACTCGTACACCATGTGGAGAAGCACGTGAAGTCGTTGGTAATGAACTATGTACTTGAGAGACTGGTGTCCTTGGTCCTTTATGTGGAGATACAATACGTTTTAATTGTGATTGACGTTTTTCATTAATACTTTGTATGACAAGTTCATCATCTGCAGAACAAAGACCAAGATGTAAAAGACTTACATTATCTGTTAAAATATTTGGTAAAACATTTACTCTTGTAGAACGATGACTTATTGTTTGATTACGAATAATAGTTGCATCGGGAACATCTTTTATTTTGCTTTCCATTACACGCTTTGAGTGTTTACCTGAACCTTCATCATGAAGTTTGGTAAAAGCATCAGAGACAAGTAAAAGACGAGGAACGGAATAGAAAAGGGTATGACTAGTTGTTAAACGTATAGCACGACAGAAACCTTGTGGATTTGGACGATAGGATGGTGGTACACATCCATATTCTGTGAGAACAGATATCATTTGTCCACGTGCGTAATCAAAAGGAGTAAGTCCATACTTATTCATACGTAACATACTACGTAAAAATACTGCAGGATGTGATGATTCCTCTTCAGCGTTCATTTTTGTATCATCTGTTTCAGTAATAAGATTTGTTTTATTATTTTTTTCTTGAGTTTCTGTTTTTGGAATTTCAATGGATGGAAATTCTGGAGGCATTACAGTCGTAGGAGGATCATATTGATAACATGTAAAGTAACATAAGGCAGCTGCTAAGAAATACCGTGTCAATTGAACTTGATCATTTTGAACTAAAAGATGTAAAATAGTATCTTTATGCGTTCGTGTGGTATAACTAAGAGTTAGAAGTTCACCTTCACTAGATTCCCATCGATTAACAGGTCGAGAAGCAGCAAGAAATATTTGTACTGCCGAAGGTGTAAGTGGAGCCCGTTTATCTAATAATGAAAGTAAAATATCAATTGTCTTTGCAGAAGGTTTAGGTGAATGAAGTAAGAGAGTTGTGTGAAGAGCCCAATCACAGAGAAAATAAGGAAAATAACGTGGTTGTTCCTGTGGTTCAATAACTAAAGCGGGACGCCACTGTGAAGAAGACCGACCTCGCGTTTGTTCAGATGAAGAAGATCGTGTCGTTGCTGTTGTGATTGTGGCTGGTAGTATTGTGGATCTCCGACCTTCTGTAAAATGAACTGAACGTCTGGTTTCACGTCGTTGTAATTGCTGTGATGATGGGGTTGCGGTTGGCGACGGTCCTCGTGTTTTCCCCGCAGACGTGTCGGCAATTGCCACCACACTTCCAATTCGTTTTCTATGCAATCCACCAGCACCACCAGCAGCAGCATTAATTCCAGTGCCGTGTCGAGATGCCCCTGGCGATGTGATTTCACCAGCGACTTTCGAGTTTTCTCTCAACGCCACTGGACGAGTGGCGGCGCCAATTCCCCACGTAACGGCAGAGGCGGTTTCTCTCTCTTTTGCTGCTGTTAACATATCGACATAATGCATTCCATTCTCTGCCATTCCATCTTCATTATGGGTGCCATCTAAATCACTAAGGGGATTGTCCCCACTCTGGACATCTAATCCTAATAAACCTACAGCCATGAGTTTAACTTCTTTACTCCTCTTGGTGGTGTTATTGTTGTTGGTGGTGGCGGTGAGTTTAATATCAATGGAGGCAAGAGATTGTCTATCTAAATTCCTTCGTCCGGGTGAAAGTCCAACAATACTTCCCGTTTCACTTGCATGTCGTTTAAGAAGAGATGCTAAACTAACAGAACCTCGAGCTACAGGACGACGAGGTTCTTCTGTTAAGTGTACTTGTACATTTAAATCTTCAGGAATTCCATTATTAGGATTAATACGATCATATCGATTTATACTTATATATGGTGCTGTTTCTGGATTCTCTGTGAAAAATTTCAGAACCTGAACACTACTAGCAGCAATAGCAATAACATCAAAGTGATGTTCCTCAATTAAACTACGCCACTCATATTTTAAAGAGCTATTTAATTCTTCTGGAACTAAACTAATAAGAGATGTCATAAGTGTAGGGTTATCAAAACGTACTGAAAGTTCTATAATTTCATGAAAATGAGCTGCCATAGCAGTAAGTATAGTACGTTGTGCAGTCGTCATAGAGAATCCACTATTAACAGTTTGCAAAGACGTCAAGACATGAGGAGGTACTGCTATATACACCGCTGCTGCAGAGAGTTGTTTAACATAATTATCCGTTCTCTTTACAATAAATCTCCAATTGGATGAATCACGACCACCTACTATTCCTTTTTCTTTTGGTGAAAATGTTGGAATTCCATTTATATCTATAGGTCCGGATACTGTGATACTTTTTTCATCTTTTATCGAATCTCTTGCAAAAGATGGTATCGCTTTAATTATATATATAGGAATAGAAGGAGCTGTAGGGAGTAATACGGTGAGAATAGAACTCCACTCAGATGATGTCACATTTACTTCTTCTAATCTTCCTGCATAGTGAGCATAGAGAACATTACACCAAAAGGCATTTACAGCCTCAGCACGCATAAGGAATCGCCTTACATTACTTGCATACATCGCTGCTAAACGAATTCCCAAAATAGGATGTAAATTAGAATATACAAATGACAAGAAGGAAAATTTTGTCTCATCATCTGAAAGATTATTTAATATAGTCATAATAGTTTTCATATCTTCTTCACCATAATATAAACGTGTAGCCAGTATCATCCAACACGAGGAACTTTCTAAATTTCTTCTTAGTTTTTCATTTATAATACCATTATCAAAACAAGCACTGTTCACACTTGGACGTAGAGTGGCGGCAAGAGAATTATTTGCAGTGGTTGGGGCTAATGTACTTACGGTGGGTCGTCTACTCTCTGCTCGAACAATAAGTCCTACAAGTGGAGTATAACTCATACGAGCTGCAAGAGCTAAAGCGGTTTGACCATCCTCTTGTTCATAATAAAGATTTGTAAATGTAAACTTTCGTAATAATTGTTCCACCACTAATAACAAACGATAAACACTTGGAATAGAAAGTGGATCTCTATAAGGAATACCGTCTTCATTTACAATATTATTTAAATCATTTTCTACAAATAAACGTCTTGTAGACTGTAGAGCATCTTCATGACTCATCTCTGCTGATAATGTTTCCATTCCACACTCCGCTGCATAAATATTTGCAGCTTTTCGCAGTAGAAAGATTAAGAGTGTATCTCCTGTTGATGGATTAAATAGAGAAGGTGAAAGTACAGAAGAGTATTGTTGTAATAAAGATACCAAACACTGTGGATTATACTCTGCACATAAAAAGAGAAGTTGTGCATAATAGGCATTGGAACCTTCTTTTTGTCTGGCTCGTACACTATGGACAGCAGAATGTGAACTATCCATTCCAACTGTGGGTAATCCAATATGAGGAGTGGTAAAGACATCATTAGATAATGACATGGCGAGAGAAAGAAGAGAACTTTCATTATCGTTATTATGATGGGATTCCCTTGGTGTATCTACACTTCCATCTTTATCTATTAACTTGAGTACAACACTTGGCATTTCTTTCCCAGCATCGTCCAAAGTGGATGTTCGTGATGGCCTCTCTTGTGATCCTTTCTTTTTCTTATTATCCATATGATGATCTACACTTCCCAATTCCACATCCTCATCTAGAAAGATTTGTAACCTTGTACCTTTTCCAGGTGTAGTGCGAACCGCCAACATCCACGCATCATTTCCATCCGCATCAAAATTCCCCTGAACAACAGCCCCATGAGCAAGCAATAAACGTAATAAATGTAAAACGTCTATAGCTGTTCCAGGAGAAAGTGAATCAATGGGTTTAGCAATAATTTCCTGCACGGCGGTTTGTTGTTGTTCATCCGCTTGTAATAATTCCTTGTGTTCAAGTAGTTTCTGTAAATCCTCTGGTGAATTGGCAAGTGATAAAAAGAGAGAAACGGTTTCTACACTTAAAGAACGTAATGCCAAACGAAAAGGAGTGGCCAACCATTTAGCACTACTCTGCACAACTGTTGTTACTTTCTGCGGTACATATAATGGATCCATTTCACATTCACTGAGAAGAAAATCACATACATGCGGTAAACCCAAAGAAGCGGCTAATTGTAAAGCGGTAAAACCAAATGGAGAAGTAACATCATCTATAAAGGAACAACCATGAGCTGTACTTCGTTGGTCTAACATGTGTTGCATCTCATCTACACAATCCTCATGTTGTCCACGTGTACGTATGAGATTAATCATTTCTTGACAAAATGGACGCATTTCTAATAATTTTCGTTTTGCTTCTTCTTTTCCTACAATTTCTACTGCTTTTACTAATGTTGGTACCGCAAGAAGTTTTCGGGCAAAAATTACAGCATCACTTGAGGGTACTCGCACACCGCCATGTTCACGAAGGAAGTTTGTAATGATTTCTACATATTGCATAGCTCGTATACTCTGAGAAACACGTGAGGTTTCACTTGAAATAATATCCACCATTACATATAATTCCTCCAGTGCAAATCCCTGTTCTAAGAATTGAATAGATTTCCGTACAGATGGGGCTGTTCCTCCTTTTGCAAGTAACATCTGTACAAATGTACTTCGTCTTCTTTGACTCTCCGTTCGATAAGATCGATTCCGTGCTGGTATTCGTCGCTGTGATAAAGCTAGAGATCGTTTCTCTTTAGGAACTCCCAACTTTCGAGAAGCACCAATCATCGTTGCACTAGCACGAGCTAAAAACCTTGCCGTAACATTCGTCCCACGTCGTTGTTGCGATTGTTCCTGTTCTTGTACACTTACTTGTAAATATCGAAGATCACTCGAACCCAATGATCGTTCTTGGTCTCTTCTATTCTTAAGTGAATCCTTTATATCCAGAGGGAAAAGATTATCCTGACTCTTTTCTTCAGCTGAAACGAGAGCTGCATCTTCACTTAAATCCATTTGTAGTCGTTTCGCATTATATCGTGTAAAGAAACCTTCACGAAAGGCATCTGTAGCCACATATCCTTTTTGAGATAAAAGAAATAAAGTAACATTATCAAGTCCCTCCGCATCACTTGAGAGTATCGCTAGACAAGTTCCTTCAATAACAGGACCTCCAGGATTTGGTACACCTTCTGGCATTAAAGAGACAATGAGTTGAGCCGCTGCTTCTTGATGCGCATGAATGGCTAATAACAGTGGTGTTCGTCCTTGTCTATTTGTGGCTACTGGACTCATCGCATTTGGACGTTTGGCAAAAGTACGAAGTGTACAAAGTCGTGTAATTTCCTCATCTGAAAATTGAGACATAATGTATTCAATTACTTGAAGTAAACCCTCTTGTGCGGCTAGATGTAAAGCGGTATCTCCATTCTTTTCAATAGAAGCAATATCCAATACATTTGTACCTCTACGTAATTTATCTTTTGCATATTCTAATATATCCAAAGCTAAGGTTTCATGACGATTCATAATAGCCATTTGTAATGGATTAGCATAAGTAGAATTATTTTGTAAATTTAAAGAGGCTCCTTTTGTAATAAGTGCACGAACAACTTCCAATTGTCCTTGTTCACATGCCAAGTGAAGAGCTGCACATTGTGTTCGTGGATCTAACGCATCCACATCTAATGTAGCAATTACTCCTTTATTTCCCATCATGGAATTTGTTTTTAAGGAACGAGCAGCAGTAGTAGTAGTAGTAGTAGTAGTAAGATGTTGTTGTTGTTGTTGTTGATTTTGTTGTTGAGATGAACAAGTAAAAGAATCCTGATTAGAGGTTCCAGATAAGGCAACATTAGAAGTAGCATGACAACAATTTAATAATTCCAATGCGGCCTGTTCACTACCAAAACTCACTGCTAATAACAGAGGTGTGGGTCCATCTAAAGTAACATTTGGATTGGCTCCATTTTCCAGTAATGGTCGAATAAGAGATCCAATATTATTTAATGCACACCAACATAATGGTGGGGCCACACCGGCTTGATTAACAGCAACATAAGAATGATAATCCGGTGTTTGAAGTAACATCATGGCAATTTCTTCACTACGACTAGCACAGGCAAGTTCTAAACAATTAGCTCGAGTAAGACGATCAAAACTAGAAGGTGCAGCTCCCATAGAAAGAAGTTGTTTAGCAATATCTGTATAACCTAAACGACATGCTATTAATAAAGCGGTTTCTCCACTACGTGTTAATACATTTAAGGCATGTCGTCTATATTCTTCAGATATAGTTTCATTTAAATAATAAAGAATAAGATGTACACAATCTTGATGACCTTCAAGAATAGCACAATGTAAGGGTGTATACTCCACACGATGTAACATGGTAGCAGAAGCCACTCTTTTCGTCGTTGTATTACCAGCAGAAGAAATCAATCGACTATTTCTTGACATACTTGAACTTGTTCTTTTATCTTTTTCTTCTGAACTTCTAATAGTAAATAATTCCAAAAACTCATATAAAGAAATACGTTCCAGTAAAACATGAAGAATTTCTCCATATCCTAATGTCGCTGCGGCGAGTACAGCCATTCGTCTTTGACGAATATTCACATCATCCATACTCGTAAAGTCTGTAAGAGGATGAACCGCAATACGATAAGCCGGAATACGTTGTCTTAACGCAAGAGCAATACAAAGAGGCACTAAAGAAGCATCTTCTGGAATAATCGTAACACCATTAACTTCTCTATCCGCATCATCACTACGGCGTTTAAGAAGTACAGGAGGAAAGAATAACATAGTTTCTGCAGAAGATAAGGCATTTAACATTTGTCGAACACTTGTGGTAGTAACTCGTGAAGATGCCCCAAGTGCTAATGCTTCTTTATCTCCTCTTAAAAGTTCCTCATCATCATTCTCACCCATTGATAAGGAATCCTCTTCACATGTGAGAAGTCTCAGAAGTGCACAGTTCATCATAGATTCATCAAATAACAGTGTATGTGTAATAGGAAGTGCCCCAGGAATAGATCGAAGAAGATCTTCTTTTGTTTGATTCGGAGTTTTAGAACTGCCGACATCAGAGGAAAAAATATCACTTGGAGGAAATCCTTGTTGAGTGATAATATGACTTGCCAATAATAAATTCTGTGCAAATACAAAACGAACGGCTACAGCATTAAATGGATTTTCTTTTTGTATTCGACTCGTAATACTTCGTGAGGCTTGAAGACTCACCGCTGGCCGTAGGGATAAGGCTGGTGGTAATGTATAGAAGGCCACACCAAGAGAAGTTCCATTTAATGTAAAAGAAGCACATCCTGTTCCTAAATTTACTCGACATCCCACTACAAGTGCTAAAGATTTATATACAGATATACCTCTAATAACAGTGGCACAATTAGAAAATACCAAATTCTCTGCTGTAAAAAACTTCTCTGTATTTTCTTCTTTTTCTTCTTCTTCTTTTTCTTCTTCTTCTTTATTATCGTTATCATTAAAGACATGTTGAATTAAACTCACCGTAGGGACTACAGTTTCTGTAACCATCACTTCCATTGTGTGATATTCCGAATCTTCTAATGGAGAAGGTGTAGGACTCACATGTGGATGTCGATGAATGGGTGAAGAGTATATAGTACTGGTAAAATCATCCTCCGTATCCTTTTCTTCATTATTCTCTAAACCAGCATCTTCCACATGTACACGAATAAGTGAAATTTCTTTTTCCACTCCACTATTATGATGATGATAATGGATTCTTGATGACTCTCGTGATTCCTCATTCCCTACAATGAAAGGAGTTGTTCTTCCCATTGTATGTTTCATCGGACGAAGAATAATTTCCTCTGTTGAACTATTCTTTTGCCATCTATGTAGTACATCAAAGGATATTCCAAAAGAATTACAATCACTACCAAGTGGAGGTTGTGTAGATCGTCCATCTGCGGCTCCAACACAAGCGTCTGTACACCAACCAACAAATACATTTGATTGTTGTAATCCTTCCATTGGTACGTTTTCATTTTCATCATTTGATAAAGAAGATACACTAAAAGGTGTTTCACTTATAGGAACATCATTCATCATAAATTTTAAAGAGATATGAGCTTCATAGTAAAAAGTTAAATTCTTTGCATCCATATCAGCTTGTTGATTTTTTCGTCTTCTTCTTGTATTTTCAGATTGAATAGATTCATTTCCATCCCATGAAGAAGTAAAATGAGATGGTAAACGTACGGTATGAACATTTGCAGTAGATGTATCCCCTACAAGTAAAAGATGTGATGTTGTCCCTTCCAGTGGTGTATATCCTAAAGGATCCACACGTCTTATAAGAGATGTACTTACAGCTGGTAAAACTGCACATTGTATAGGTGATAATAACAAACGATCTAATTTTTTTCTACTTAATAGTGATGAAAAAGATAAATCACTTGAATAAGAAGGAAAAATACTATATCGTCCCGTTGTTCGTATACCCAAAGGTGATCCTGATGGTGTTGTTCCTGATGGTGGTGATCCTGTTTGTGGTTTTGCAGATCCAAGTGTGGAAGGTCTAACTCCCACTCCCACTCCTCCTCCTGTATTTGGACGAGTTCCCATAGAAATAGAAACTTGTCTTTTATATAAACTTCGATCTCGAAGAAAACGTCTTAAATCTTCACAAAGACCAGATGTAAGAGATGTGATTTTCATTCCACTATCCATATTATCCAAGGTTTTATGGGGTAATTCAAATACAACATCATCTAATATCGCACGATGGGCTTCACTTCCAGCATTATCCTGTTCAGCTCTTGCTTCCTCCTCCATAAATTTATTTACAATATTTCCTATCCCTTTCATATATTTCACATAAAATTCATCAGACATATTAGGATTTAAAAAAAGCCATACTATAAGTGCATTCGTATTGTAGAAACCAACAGACATCAATCGACGTAATACCTCAATTTGACCTGTAATCAATGCGGTATAGAAAATAATAGCCACATTTTCTCTACTCTCAAGGGCACGTAAATATGAACCAGATGAGGATAAGATAAGAGAAGCCACCGCATCTGCTCGACCTTCCGCAATGGCTTGCAAAACAACATGAGAAACATCTGGAAGTGCTTGTGATTGACGTAAACTGGCACACGTATCGCAGGCATTAACAAGTCGAACTGTAGTAGTAACAAGATAATCACGTGGAACTAATTCCACTAATTGAGATAAGGCTAAAGGATCAATAACAGCATTTACATACCATTCTACAAAACGATCACCTGTGTTATTACCATCATCCATTTTTAATGCCAATACACGTGCGGAAAAGGGTAAAATTAATTCTTTTCGTAATCGTGAATGAACTCCACTTGGAGGTAAATTTGGTAATATACGTAATTCACGTACACGTTGTAAAAGAGGTCGTAAGGCTCGCATTCGTAATCGTGCTTCTGGACTACTTCCAACAGTGGCTGCATCTTCATATACTTCTTCTAATTTTCCTCCTTCTGTATTACCCATACGGTATTCTCGACTTAATGCGGCATCATCTACATCATTTACAGCAAAATCACGCATATCCGTTTCTATTTCTTGTAATAAATCCTGTAATTTTAATTGACGTAATTGTAAATGTTCTCGTTCTTCAGCGTAACGATGACGAGGAGCCACACGTTTTAATTCTCGTTGCCAACGATGATATAAATTATCTCTATGGAGTACATCCTCTTCACCACGTTCAATACTCTCTTCAAGGGTTCGGTAATACTCATGCAGTAGAGATTCATCATATCGAATTCTTCCAATTCGTTCTTCTAAACGATTGATAAAAGTATGTAATGTTTGACTTGCACGTACCAAAGAGGAATGATAAGCAACTAATCGTTCATATAAAGCAGCTATTTGTTTTTTAGTATAACCCTTCATACCTTTTTTCTTTGGTTGTAAATCTTCTCCACGATGGGTGGATTCCTTAATATAATCAAGACATCCTTCAAAATCTTCATCACTGCATGTAAGTACATCTATTTCTTCCGGGTTAAACGTCTGTTCGTCTTCTTCATCCATTTCTACGACTAACACTTCGGGCTGATGCGCAGAAGCGGGGCGTTGTTGTTGTTGTTGAGAAATATCCGTTTTACCTCGCAGGGGCTTCACACTGGGAAGATTAGGGGTTGCAGAGGGTCTCGGCATTATTTATTTATATTTCTTTTTTTTTTTCTTTTTTCCGCCACCCCGTCAAGACGGCTATGTGAAAAGAGAGAACAACAAGAATAATAATAATAATAATAATAATAATAATAATAATATTTAAAGAAAAAGTGAAGAGAAGAAAAACAAAAAGGATTTATCTTTAAAGCCATAAAAATAAAATAACACATTTACTCACAACAAGAGGAGAAAAAGAAAATAAAGAAAAAACAAAAGAAATTATTCCATGAAACATTCTCACCACCTCGTTCTCGTTCCCTTTTTTTTTTCTTCTCTTTACTTTTCTTTTTCTTTTCTTTTTGCAGACCCTCTTCTTCTTCTTCTTCTTCTACCTGTCTCCACTCTTGCCTCTAAGAATAGAGACGCCATCCGGCACTGATCAGGGGAGAAAGTGAGTAAGTAAGTAAACGAAACAACAAAAAACAAAAAAAAACAAAAACATGACGACTGATCGGAATTCACCTAAAGTAAAAGCAAGAGTAAGGAGAACATCAGTTACAATAGTAAATAACGAGAAAGAAAGAAAGAAAAAGAAACAAAAGAAGAAAAAGAAAGATGAGTTAGAAATACAAAGAAGTCACCATTCTTATCATCATACTTTCCTCTCTTTCTTTCCCTTTCTCTCTTTTATTACCAGTGAACCACCTTACTTGTTTGCCTTTCCCCCCTTCTTCCACTCCCACATCCGTACAAAACACACAAACACACACACACACACTCCTTTTCCTTTCTCTTTTCCCTCTTTTCCTCTTCTCTTCTCTTCTTCACATATTCCCCCCTTTTTCATTTTTTACTACTACTACTTCTGTGTTTCCTGTGTTGTCTCCGTGACGGACTGCAGGAGGCCGAGCACCTTCTCCTTCCAGCGCGAGACGTGCACGGCGAGGCCCTTCACTTCCTGCAGACTCAACACCCGCGGCTCCACCCACGTGATGTGCACCTCCCGCGTGAGTCCGTCAATGCGGCCCATCACAATTCCCTGCGCGAGGGCCGCGAGGAGCAGCGGCTCCACCCGCTCCGCCTCCACCGCACACCGCCGGCCAATCACATCAAATGTAAAGGTCCGCTCGTTAAAGGGAGTGTAGAAGACAAGATGGAGAAGGGCCATGAGGCGCACTTTGTGTAGAATGGAGGGCAAGGCACTGCAGAGATCGGGATAGGCTTCAATCTGGGCACCATGCGAGGCAGCGTACTTTTCAAATTCCTCCACCTTTCCATCATTGCAGAGTTTAAGCCATTCAAGAATCCACGCATGTGTTGGAGAGGATGAAAGACGATCTGTGAAGTGACGATCATTTAGAAATTTACCAAAATTGTATGTCTCTTCTGAAAGTAAGGCAGCAATAGCAGTTTTAAAGGCAAGTGTCAACATATCACTTTCTATAATAGGCATCTCTGCACGTTCAGCGCTACTTACAGTTTCAAAGGCATTTTTATAGAACATTGTATACTGCCGACGAGTTTCATAATCTTTTCCACGGGCTTGACAATGTAAAGCCGCTAAAACAGGTTCCACCTCATGCATTTGTTTAGAATGAATAAAAGCTTCCACAGTATCAAGAATACGACGTGCTCGTGCCGCAAATCTTCCACTAGCAGATTCCTTTTCTGCATTATTCCTATCAAGCAATAAAAGAGCCTGAATACAACAAGCCGCATTTCCACCTTGTTCTGCTGAAATAGATGTAAGAGTGGCAATGGCACCATCAATAAGTTCAGACGCCTTTTCAAATGTGCTATTAGGACTGAAACAAATGCAATGTAATAACTTTACATAAGCCATAGGAGACATATCCACTCGTGTTGTTCGCAAAACATTTTCATGTAATTCATATGCAGATTCCAATACCAATGGATCACGTATGGCCAGCATTAAATCATCTGTCATTTCACACCATAGTGAACGTCCCAATTCATCTTTTGCTCGGGTTAACACTTGTGCCGTTTCTGTGTGTCCGGTAGATTGTAGAGAGGCGATGAGGGTATCCAAATACGCCCTCGCTCTTTCCTCCATATCTTCCAGCTATTTTTT